TCATGCGCTCCTTCTCTCCACTTCACCTAGTCTAGTCATCAAGACAGACCCCTCATGGTACCAAATGCCTTTTGTCATTATACGAGGCTTACCAGCAGGCACTGGGTGTAGATGATGCTCCTTACTTGACAGAGCACCTTCTTCACATGGACCATGTTCTATCATGATCTTCACTTCCTTAGCCTTCCACATGCCTCACAGCTGTGTTTGGAGTCTTACTCTTGGCTCCCTATATTTTCTCATCACTATTACAAAGTACCTAAGAGAAACAACTTGAGGGAAGAAGGCTTGATTTGACTCAGGTTTAGACAGACTTCGGTCTGTCATAGCAAGGAATGTGTGGAGCCAGGTCCTTGCAAGCCTAGGCATTTTGATTCTTGGCTGACCAGAACACAAAAGGCAAGACTGGAACAAGAGGTAGATATAACTTCAAAGACCATTCCCTCCTTATACCACAAAGGCCCCACATCCCAAAGGCCCAACGATCTCCCAACAGAGCATAACCATCTGGGGACCATGTGTTCAAACACAAGCCTCCTGAGGACATTTCAGATTCCAGCCATAACAAGTCTGCTCTCCTGGTTTGCTGTGCTACCTTTTTGCTGATGACATCAGTACTTTCCATCCATTGTGGACCTTTTCCTTCAATCTGCACTTCCTATTGCCTCCTCAAGAGTGAAATGTTTAACATGATGAATGTCAAAAACCTAATTCTTGATTTTCCTTCCCCTCCAAACATGCTCCAATGGCTGCCCTCGACTTAGAGGCAGCTCCATCCTCCTACGGCTCCAAAGATCTTGCAATTATCCCTGACTGTTCTTTTCCTTCCCACATCTGCAGTAAACAAAACAAATATGAATGTCCAATCTTGTAAGATTTATACTGCATTGTGGGAAAAGGGGAGAAAATAAAAACTAAATCGTTTACAAGAGAGGGACAGGAAAGTAGGCACAGTAGAAGATTTAGCCCATGACAGAAAGAGTAATGCCACTTCCACCAAGTCTGCTAAGGGAGAATGCTGGTAAGCTTGCAGATACAGTTCTTAAGACTGCTTCCAAATTCAACCGGTGTAAGAATAACGTTAAGGCCACAGCTTCATGAGCCAGGAAAAAGGGAACCAGGATGTAACAACCTCAAAGCTTTGGAGTAAATACACGTGAGTCCCAGAATCAGAGAGAGACTGCTCAAAGGAACAGGAAGTGCTCTTCTGCCTTCACCAATGTGCATAGGTGTGCAAGCTCCCACACCCTTGTGTTTACATTCACAGACACACAGAAACAAATAGAAGAATATATAACCAAACAGTAGGGTTTTACAGAAAATGCAAAAATTCCATTCCCTTCTCTCAAATCTGATGCTTGTAGGAATGCCACTATGATGACACCATTAAACAAAGAGAAAAAGGTTACATTAAAATTGGCATCAAGGCTGGGATGACTCCGTGATTAAGAGCACTTGCTGCTCCTACAAAGAGCCCAGATTGGCTTCCCAGCACCCACGCAGCACTCACACCATCTGTACCTCCATTCTGTGGATCAAATCCCCAAAGCAGGAGTGTGACTGTTTTGACCTCCATAGGCACTGCCAAAGTGTGGTATGCTTAATGTACATGCTGGCAAAATACTCATGAACATAAAAATAAGTGTAAAAATGTGTTTAAAAGATTAACATATGAATTGATTTTTTTTATGTGGTCTCTACTCAAAGATAGATGAAAAGGTTATATCAATATCCAAGCTGGTCATGAGATTAGTTCCTTTCTATTAACAATTAGTTAGCAAAACAGTCAGCCTCAGAGATATAAAATACCTATGTCCACGAGAATGTATACATAACTATAAGTTAGCAAGAGAGGCTGGAGAGATGGCTCAGTGGCTAAGAGCACTGCTCTTCCAGAAGTCCCGGGTTCAAGTTCCAGCAAACACATAGTGGCTCACAACTACCTGTAATGGGATGATGCTCTCTTCTGGTGTGTCTGAGGACAGCTGTGGTATACTTATATACATAAATAATTCTTTAAAACATAAATAAATAGCAAGAATTTATACAAAACCCAACAGGAAACAACAGACATGAAGACTGTCTTGATTAGGGCCTTCATGAAAGGAAATGTATAGCAAAGAGGTGTTCAACTGGGTTAAAAATCAGGCGAACACAAACTAAATCCACAATGTGACACTTCAAATGTGAGCAGATGTTGACAAACTAAACTCTCAAATCCCCAAAGCAGGAGTGTGACTAGTCTAAGCTCCACGGGGACTCCTAGAGCTGAATATATGCCTGTCTCACGTTCACCTCAGTACGTGCGGTAACTATAGAAACTTATATTCACCAAGAAAGGAATAAATAAGGTTCATGCAGAAGTGGAACAGCCCGCACGAGCCACAGCTATGCACAACAGTGACTACTAAAGACCTAAACATCCACTGAACATGTCACATAAGGAAGTCAAGCACAGGGATTGCCAAACTGGGAAGACACACAAACACAAAATCAAGCAAGCCTAACTTACCTGATACGTACTTAAGGAAGTATGCAAGGCTTTAAAATCTTACCAACTGTTACCTGCATATTAAAGAGGATTCAACTCCTTATGCTTTGACTTCATTCAGCAAGTCATTTCCTTCCTTAGCACAGCTAGTAATCCCTTATAATCAGTAGTTTTCACGATGTATTAGAAGGTTGTTGACTGACAGGCTGCAGAGGTGGAGGCAATAGGTGAGAGCACTTTACGTACAATTGTGAGGGCCTGAGTGGGAATTTCTAAAGTCCACATGAAAGCCGAACATACAGTAATGCTAGCAATTACAGCATTCCTACAAGAGGATGAGAAGTGGACAGAAGCCCCAGAGCCATGTGTGCCAGCTAGCCTGGAAGATGCAGAGCCTTGTGTGCCAGCTAGCCTGGAGGATGCAGAGGCAAAACAACAGACATCCTACTGTCTCAATCAAGGTAGAAGATGAATACTGAGGTCTTCTGAGATCTTCGAATTGTGATGTGTATACACACAACCATCATACAACAACAAACATACAAACAAACAAAAATCTCAGCAAAAAACTCAGCAAATAAAAACCAGAACAGGAGCACATGCTGCCTCAGACATGGCCAGGCAGTCTTCTGGCCATGTTTCAGTTTCTAAGTCTTCAAAGACAAGCACGCTAAATGCAAAGGCAATTTGGTTCTGACAGGTTGTAAAACTGCAGCTGAAAGCCTGTGGGAATCACTTAGCTGCCATGCAGGAAGCTCAATGAATGAAGCTCAGATCACCAATAACACCCAAAAAGAAAGTGGAAACTCCCAAGCAGCTGGCTGCTGTCCTTTGCACAAAGATATGCACAAAGCTTGGGCACTGAAGACAGGGGGAGAAAGGCAGCTAACAGTTATTTCAGAGCAAGACTTAGGTATAGGGAAAAAACTAGACAAAGGAAGTGGTCTAGCTAAAATACAGTCATAATTGGCAGGGCCCAGATTAGTTCAAGAATGCTATGTAAAGTACCCCGGTTTAAAATGTGGAAAATACACAAATAGTCAATGTTTTAATAGTAAACTATTTTGGCCAATGTCTAAACCTTATTCTTTTTGTAATGAGTGCAAAACTCTAAAATTTTGGCTGGGGTCCGCTCACATGCAGCCATTGCTGCTAGCCAGCCACAGGGCGCGCCCTAGTTAATCCACACCACCAGAAACTGCTTTTAAACTTTCAAAAGACTTTATATTATTGTTAACCATTAAAGTTTCAGGGGTTAAAATTCAGCCAATGCAGCTGCAGAGTCTGTGATGAAAACCAGTTACCATAGCAGTTTCCCAAAGCGACCCTCTAGAGACTTGTGCTGGCCACGGCTCTCTGGACAGCTGGAAACTCTTCCATCAGTATACCGTGAGAAAGTGCTTTTCGGTTCAAGACTTCCAATATGATGCCACACCATAAATTTCTAGAGGATAAAGTTATGCTTTCAGGGGCTTTGTGGGAGAAAACATCAACAGGGAAGAGGCACGATTCATTCAGTTATCTGCTCAAGATGCTCAGACAAAAGAAATGTAAAGCTCAACTTGAGACTCCCTTTCATCCCGGCCTCCCTTCTGTGCTGAGAAGCACTTGTGAGGACTGTGTGCCAGGAACAGAACCAGACACGAACACCCGAAGCCAAGCCTCCCAAAGACTGGGAAAACATTTCTCGTCTTTCCCAAGCTGCTCAGTTTCAGAATTCCTTTTCAACAGCAATAACAAAGGTTTGCATTTCTAAATGATTTACTCCAATCCAACTTCAGCACGGTTAAAGTACTGGACAGGTTAAACCACACCAGAAGAAGAGTTCCAGTTCCAAGCCCTGTCTGCTCACTTCCCAGGCCTTGCAGGCCTACGACTGATTCCCATCTTCGGTTCATGATCACTGCCTGCCTCATTCTGCTCTCCCAGGACCATCTCCCTTCTCACAGTATCTACACAATTCTTTGGCCACTGTTGTATTTCCCTGATGTCCACCCTCCAACACAGACTTCCTGCTATAGGCCATTAAATGGTGAAAGATTCATTTGCTTGACAGTGACACTCCTAGGAAATGAGACAGTGTCCTTACAACCACTCAGCTTACATCGTGTGAGATCAGTAAGCACTCAGAGAAACTTATACCGTGGAACAGGAACTTGGGGGTCTCTTCCAAGGTTAGCCACTCACAGTCCAACCCTTTCTTGATGCTGGGCTGTGGTCCCCTCCACAATGGGCTATCAAACGTGATCTTCAGAAAAAAAATTACTGACACTAATCCAGAGCAGCCGTACCACATTCAAAACAGCACATGAACTTCGAAGGCTGTACTATAGGAACAAGCTGTGTTGGACAGCTTTGCCTAGCCACAGGCTAGTGTATGTGTTCTGAGCACTTTAAGGCAGTCTAAGTCAAGCCAATTAAGTTAGGGGCATTAGATGTATTTCTGATGTACTCTAGGTTCACCTACCTGATCAGGACTAATCCCACAATGAATCAAGCAGCACCTGTATTTATTTCTAAGGAAAGGGTGGTTTACTAAACATGAATACAGAGAATCCCAGTTCTTGTGGATGGAAGGATGGGGAGAAGAGAAAGGGATACAGTCACTTACAGTTATGACTGTTTAAAAGGAAAGGTATGTCTTTATTGTTTTAAAAACAATTTCGAAACAAAAATATATAGTATATGCAAAAGTAAAATTTCCATGACTTGAAGGAAAGGTCATTTTCCTACATGTCCCAAGAGTGTCTAGGGTTTCTTTAACTTGTACATAGCCTTTTTAATTTCAGTTATGAAAAACTTTACTGAGAACCAAATACTTGAACATGCTTCTCTCCACTCAAATTCAGAATGGCTAAAGTCACAGTCCTGTAGAATACATACTTCCCCTGCAAACAAAACAAGCTCAAAAAACAAAACAAAACAAAAAAACAAAACCCCCGCCCACATAGATCAATTTTAGAAGTACAGATGCCGTATGATATAGTTTCTTCTTTACATGGAATATTAACAACAGAAAGGAAGACAACATAAAATGACTTACCATTGCTGTGAGACCCAACAGTGGATGAAGAATGAGTGACTTGGGCATTTCCAATAGGATTTATAAAGAAGACCTTCATCATAAAACCCCATGTCACAATAGGGATTTGCTGCACATCTCATAAAAGTTTCTTCTTTGTCAAATCCCCCTAAGTTCTACCTGATTTAATCCTAAGAAAAGGCTTCTACTGTAGTGCAAGGGACACTGACTCAACCCAAGACAGCCACCACCCTGCAAGTTACTGGCAGAGACTATCCTATCTATGCATACCCTGGACTCCAAGTGGTCAAAGGTGACTTTCACTCTTTCTCAAGAGGGACCAGCATAAGCAACTGTGAATCTGAACCACTTACAGCAGCCTCCAGGCCCCATCCTCTGCACTCCTAAACTTGGACTTGGCTGGAAGTAAAGACAGGAAAAACCTAACAATGATTCCATTGTTTACTACTATTGCTGCTAATACAATTGCTGTTGTTACATGAGTACGAACTATCCCATTGTAGCCACAGGGCCCCATAATAGCCCTTGGTCTACATTGTAATAAGCAATAATAATGATCTCATGTCATTAGCTAGGCAGTGGGCTCAGCATCTTACTTAAACAATACTGATGTGAGGTATAGATTTTTATCATCTCTGTCAGATAAGGAAGTCAAAGCTCAGCAAGATGGACCCACTTGCCCAAAGCTGTAGTTAGAGCATGGTGCTGAGAAGCCGTTAGTCCTGGTTTGGCCCACCCATTCTTCCTTCTCTGACACCACATCCAGCTTGCTAGGTAAAAGCCCATCTGTACACATCACTGAACTAGTCCCGACCTCTCGGCACTGTGGCATTGAGTGGCCATGGTGATCAAAGCTCCACTCTGTAAGACCTAGAGCAACTCCTCATCCTTCGAGGCAAGTGAGGACTGAGGGAGGCACAGTAAAGCCTGGAACTCTCCGGCATCCAGTCACGAGGCTGCCTTCTCAGCTGGCTCCATGGCCCACTTCCTCACCCTGTCCTCCATGCGCTAGTGTTCTGAACTTACACTGGTATGTTAGCCATCATTCCTTTCAACCTTCTATCTCCTATTAATTCTGTCTATATAGAAAGGTGACAAACATGTCCTGCTTAGAAAGAAAAGCAAGTCTGAAACACAAGAAAAATAACACTTAACAATAACATTACACTCTATTGCAGGATGGCAAAGAAGTCCAAGAACATGCAAAAATTATAAATGGTTCTACACTTTTGTTGAAATATAAAAAATATTTTATATAAATACCACATAGAAAAATGTGCAAATCACAATAATTTACAGAAAGTTCAAAGCCACCCTCAAATGTTTCTAAGTATCCAATGACACATTTGGATCTGGCGAATGGTCATCTCCCACCCCCTTTCCTGAGGTGGTTGTTGTCTATACATTTAAACTATGGATAACATCTTTAGAACTTAAAGATTTTTGATTAAAAAATTTAAAAAATTTTTCAACTGATTAAGATGAAATCAAGACACAAAAATTAGTTTACAATCTGGTACCATATGAAAGCCAACCTAGCTCTTGAAGTCAACAAGAACTGCACCAAGTGGAACCTCACTGTGGAACTCTTCCCTCGTAGCTGTGGTAAGGCCAGAAGTCCACGTGCTGCGGGCGGAGGCTTCCTGTTCCACATACACCGTACACAGATCTTACAGTGCATTATACTCCACACATTTTGATGGGTCTGTAGGAAAGTGCTTCTGGCAAATTGTCATTAACCTCTTCAGTCCCTATGAACATAAAATAAAAGTTCATTATGACATGGCTGAACTGTTTCTAACTGCCTTTCTCTGTAGTACTCAGTTTGTCAATGTCCCCTCTAAAATGAAGCACTGCCAGCAATTCTACTCAGAAGGATACCTAAACCAGAGTTCATTCATTGGTACTGTTCATCACAACATCGCTAATCAATTTAAAAAATGTGTATCCTATAGGGCTATGACATCAGCCATGCTGAGTCTGGGTGGAAAGAAACACATTCAAAGATGTAGTTCTCTCAGAAAACTGTTCCATATCTCCAAAATTAAAGAAGCTAAAAAGAAACTCCTGGGACACATAAGAAAGTGATCTCGACCATTCCAGCCAGGGAAATTTTACTTCTGTACATACTACATATTTTTGTTTGAAACTTTTTAAAACAAAAGAAACTACAAGGAGCAAAGAATCACAGAAATAATAGAGTCTCCAACCATGTTTGAATACATGAACATGCACACACTCACAGAGTATTTAGAGCAGCACAATGTACTATCTCTAGGGACCTATGATAATCAGCCTCCTCAAACAGGCTGCCAGAGAGAACAGAGCCTTAAGTGCCCAGGAAAACCATTCAAGGTGACAATGCCTCTCTTGGTCTGACCTTATAAAATTCTTAGCTGGCCACTAGACTTTATTATTCTTAGCTTTCTCACCCATCACTAGGCTTTGAAAAAAGGCTTTCAAGTCCTTATGCAAATTATTTCTATCCTTACAAACAGGCCAAAGACAACAGTAGACATGTGCAATAAGCCACTATAGATTTCTCTTGAAAATAGAAATTTGCAATCAGAAAAGAATCCTACTAACTGTTTAATCAATTTCCAAATTTCCCTGACTACAAGGAATGTCTGTTAAATGCCTTACTGAGGTCTTTGTAATATTATTGGCTAGTTAGTTATTAAAACAACAATGGAGAACAGCAGTGCTTAATTTCAATAATCCTAAACCATACCAATTTTTAGCATAAATTATTTTAAGGTGTTTTCAATCTTAAGTTCACAAAAATTAAAACCACCTAATTCTCATCACAGTAAGAAAAATAATGAAATTTAGGCCTAGAATAATAATATGGGCTATAAAAGAACATGTAGCATATTGCCTGGCACTTTAGGTGGTATTCAACTCATTTTCTTCCCTCAAAATGACACGGTGAGGCATCTTTAAACAAGAGACTCATGACCCGGTGGGGAAAACTATAGGGCTGCAGTTACCCAAACCAGTAACTGAAGAACTCACGTGGAAATCTAGGGAGATAGCATTAAAAATAACTCAGATACCTAAAAATCCATTATTTAGAACTCTTAAACTCTAACTATAAATATTCAAACAACTTTTTTATTTTTGCTTTTTCTGTGTGTGTATAATTTTAGACAGGGTCTCACAAGTAGCCCAGGCTGGTCCAGAGCTCACCACACATTCAGGAAGTGGGATTACATATTTGCTGCTGTGCTCAGATCAAGTAATTCTCAGACCCAATGAAACTGAAAAACAAAATCAGTTCACTTCCTAGTAAAACTGATAACATAAATTTCAATTACTGTAAAAAGAGCTATGGTCTAAAAGATTCAATGTCACTGAAACATGGTGTTGAGACAGTTTAAGGATCCTTTCCAGTTGTCCACACTGAGCTCTCTAAAGCTTAGGACGTGGAGAGGTTATCTTTCAGTTAGCAGTGGGAAGGGAAAGCATGAACTTACTTTGCTTCTCATAGTTCTCCCACTAACCAGTTATTTGATTTAGGATAAAGAACTCCTCCTCCATACTCAACTTCCCCTGCTGTCAAGTCCTAATCACTTGTGTATAAAATCTGAACTGTAGCTATGGCAACATATAAGACATCATTGGTTTGACATCTCTAAGAGTCCTGAAGAAATAGATGGAAAAAAGGTACAGCTAGGAAAGATGAGATACTTCAGCCAGCAGCCAAGCATGTCATGGACTGTTCTGAACAAGGAGTCAGCTTCACGTACCATTCCTTAACTAGAACCCTAGGCAACCACTCCTAAGAGAAGACATTATGAGGTACCTTTCCACATTGAACCTAAGACTTAGAACAAAGCTGAACAGCCACAGTAACAGCCCTTACCTTCGAACACTACTATAAATCCTTGTAATAGGACTGATAGGTTAGCATGGGGTTTTAACTTGTCTCAGGACATTCTTTTTTTTTCCAAATGGAAACAAGTCTTTTCAGCTAGAACCCCCTGGCTTTCCACTTCCCACTGCTGTGGGTGGTTAAGCAGAACAGCATACTCACCATAACATATTGTAACTGACTTCTTTTTTTTTTTTTTTTTGGTTTTTTGAGACAGGGTTTCTCTGTGTAGCCCTGTAACTGACTTCTTAAAACCCAGGCTCTCATTCAATGACCAGAGTTTATAATCCTCCTGCCTCGGCCTTCTGGGTGCTGATGACTATAGATGTAAACTATCTAGTTTTGTACTTTTATAAAAATACACATAATATCTACTATATGCCAAGCACTGTGCTAAGCTGCAAATAAAAGGAAAAAACCAAGCCAGAGGGAAATCCAACAAAAAGAAAAACCTACCCTCGGTAATAAGGCCAGAAAGACAAGACAAGGTAAATCAGTCCAAGGGGATAATGCTGTGCCATCAGTGAGGCCAGGGAGGGACTCATGTGGCAGAGGAAAACTGAGTAACAGAGAGTAGAATTTAACAGCAACAGTTGGCGGTGTAGACGAGAATCAAAGGCAGCAAGGACAACTCAGAGGAGACACTGCAAGAATTCACACAGGAGAGGACGGTGACTGTCCCAAGGGCAACTAGAAGAGAGCAGGCTCCAGATCTTGTAATATAGAGCCATGGAGGTTTGAAGGCAGGAAGTTTATGAGTAGGATAATCCTGGGACATAAGGTTAGAGCGCACTCACCGGCCTTTCTCCTTCCTCCTCCAATCGCAGGCCCAGGTATTTGCTTTAGGATAAAGAACTCCTCCTCCATACTCAGCTGCCCCTGCTGCTGAGTTTAACCATTTTCACACCCCTGAAGAGACTACGCTGTTTCTGGCCATACTTGCAAATGCCCCGCAAGAGCCCTCGGTGGTTCTTCTTGCAGATCATCTACTGACTTCTGACTAGGAAGCTGGGAGGATTTTACAGGCCTATGTCATGCCCATCAGCCCCACATATATGTATACCCTACATATTTTCTTCCTATCCCCTAATTCATGGTTCTAAGTGAAAGCCATATTCAAAGGTTACACATGTTCTATGCAAAACTACACGGTGTTACTCTAACTACTCTGTTTCTAACGGTCTTCAAATTTCATAATTTGTGTAAAAGCTTTCCCAAAAGCTAGACTAAAGTGTTTCCTCTGTATTTGGCAGAAATGAGCCATCCTTGAAGTTTCTACCAGCAATTTAAACCTAGCAAGTAGACTTAGGTAAGCTAATAAGCTATATAGCTTTTGTTTGATCTGCCTGGTGAGGAAACTCCTCGTGGTGCATTTAATTTTGCAAGGAGCAGAACACTTCAACTTCCACAGTTGAAACCTACAGAAGTTTGCATAAGAGCCAAAGGATGAAATCATGTTTCAGCAAACAGTCTCTTGAACTGTTTCCAGCACATTTCATAAAGTATGTTATACCAGTATTTCAAATTAAAAAGGAGTCATGTCACACAGTCTAAGTTTTCATCTATGCACTGTTCAGTAACAGGCAAATTAGAAAAGGCTTAGTCAAGAGTAGCACCGACTACAGCTGGAGATGTAAGAGCGCTGGCTATGCTTGCAGAGGTCCCAGGTTCGGTTCCCAGCACCCACATGACAGCTCATGGCTGGAACTCACAGACATAAAATATAAATGAGTAAGTGTTACAAAAGAAAAGTAGCACTGACTGACAGGAGAGAACACAGAAACAAGGCAACGTGAAGGAATACACTCCATCCAGATCTTAGTTTTTAATGTGGCACGTATTACCCAGAATCCCTGCGCTGTATACGACTAAGGCCATACACTTCTAACACTAAAGCATTTCTTGACGTGTATTTTAAAAGAAATAATTATTACATAACTTTCACAAGATTTCCTTAGCAACTATCTTCATGTAGAGTTGGTCTGAGTTATATGTACCTTCGCCAGAGGTCAAAAACTAATCCACAACACCACTTGTTTCTTAGCAGTGTCTCTGGAACACGGCTGCTGCTGAGCTCACAGATGCTTACTATCGTTTGTTTGTTTTTTTGAGATTTGTTTATGTATATGAGTACACTGTAGCTGTCTTCAGACATACCAGAGGGCATCAGATCCCACTACAGATGGTTGTGAGCCACGATGTGGTTGCTGGGAATTGAACTCAGGACCTCTCAAAGAGCAGCCAGTGCTCTTAACTCCTGAGCCATCTCCCTAGCCTAATGCTTACTATCTTAAAAAAAATAAAATAAAAAAGGTTTGCCAACCCCCAATTTGAACTTCGAGCAACATGTTGAAAATGATCCTCACACAGGAAATTTCAAATCAACCTCACCAAGAGGCCAAAAGTAACAGAGGGCTGTTATATGCAACAGAAATCGAGACTTTTGCAAACTAATACAATGCTTGGCATTCTTCTGCCTGAGCTGCAGCATGGATTTCAGGATAAACGACACAGTGACTTTGCTTAATTTCACACAATGCTAATTGAAAAAGAAAAAAACTGTAGCAACATTTAAAAAACAAGAGAGTGTGTTTTAAAAAAGATTTTGGATTCTCCTTAAAAGAAAATAAGTACCAAGGAACACTGGGAGTACACTTCCACAAGGCAGTAAGACTAACCAAAGTGACTGCCACCACGGAGACTGAGCACCAAGGCCACCCACACTGCACGCTCATGGTCCACTCTCTTACAGCAGAACGAGAAGGAAAACGCACTGCTGTTTTACATGCAAGAAAACGCAGAACCAGAGACCGGGCAGGAGGCCGAGGTCGAACACTCAGCTCCCTTGTTGTATGAAGGCCTGCCACAGGCAGAGTT